ATATAAATCGATTTACATATCTTAACCAAATTACTACTAGTAACTTTTTTTTTTATACTGTCTATAATGCTTAAGGTATAGAATTTTCCTTCAATTTCTTTTCAAATTAAAAGCAATCCCTGCCCTGCAAAAATAAAAGATAAAAATGATTCAAGTTTTGTTCATTCTCACTCAAATCAAATTTATGAAGGGACGGTAGAATCAGAATTAAAGGAAAAAAATCATTACAAGTGAAAAATGTTATAGAAAAAAAAAAAAAAAAAAAGGACTCAGAAAATTAAATTAATTTCTGAAATGCAAATGTAATAATTGTATCAACCTAATGCAGAAACACTCAGGCTAAAATATTTTCAGTTACAGAAAAATAATCTACAGTATATTGGCATGGAAAAAAAACTAAAAAAACTGCATTTATGAATTTAATTTCCATGTAAAAAAATTGTGATAAGAATTCATTTTAAGGACTTATAAAACAAAATATTTTTCAACCATGTGTGTGTGTGTGTGTGTGTGTGTGTATAGCTATGACAATGTACAAGTTTTAATCAAATAAACTTTAACACTCCATCTCCAGTTTTTTTTTTTTTTTTTTAAAATCACGTGCAAGGCAAATAGATTTCAACTTTTGTCTTAACACTACAAAATATGTACTGATAAAATGAATTTAAAAATAATAGTATTTGAAAGATAAGGAGAGGTAGTGAACTTGAAGAATTTTTTCGGGTGCTGGTGATATCTTAAAATATTTTTTAAATGAACATTATTATTTTCTAAATACATTGCAGAACCATTTCAAACACTACAACTAGAAGTTTACAGATATTTAAAAATTAAATAAATAAAAGCATTTTAAATAAGTATTAGGTAATTGACACATAATCTCATTTTATCATAATTCATTATACTAAATCCAGTTCTAATTCAGTTGAAAAGATTTTGTATTGGACATTTTTTTTGTTAAGAAATTACTTTCAAAATAACCCACTGTACCGGTTTATATTAAATCATCAACAAATCAGCAATTTTATGTAAAAGTGTATGATGCTGTATTTTGATTATTTCATTAAAATCTATATATAGTTTTCCAAAGTGATGATGGATCATAAATTCAACTAATTGTACTTAAATATGTTCACATTAAGCATTCACTGGAAATACTAGCAATGTAATAGTTTCATTATTTTAAAACTTTCTTAAATAAACACTATTTACAACTTTAATATTTTCCTACTTGAGTTAGTGGTCATATTTATTGAAAAAAGTTGGTTTAAAATAATACACATGTATAACAAAATAATAAAATTAGTTATTTGTGCACCAAACTGTTTTCTCAGCTAAAAAATTTGAAGTTTATATTAAGGAAAAAAAAAAGGCACTTTGCAGTAGGGACATACAAAATATTTATTAATTGCAGATATAGTAACTTTTATTTAAGTCCCACTTATTTTTCAAATGAAAAAAAAAATCATTTGAAATACATACTTTATGAATGAAGGGGAGACAAGTTGAAACATTGCTCTCCAAAGAAAATAATGGTGTAATATATCAAATTTTTTTCCATTCGATAGTAATTTTTAATTTGTCTCCACTTCTTCATTCTATAAGTTTTGTTCCACAAAGAAATTGTTTAAATACATGCTTTTGAAGCTTGTTGACAGTTTTTTATTAACACATGAAAAATATGTAATGATTTTTTTTTTTATAAATTAAGTGAAAAATATGATGTCATTAAAAGAATTTAAAGTTTTGTAGAAGCGCAAGAGATGGTTTTAAAATACAAGACTCAGCAACAGTTATGGTTGCTTGAATCAGCATTTTGGCTTGTCTCTCAAGTAAAATGTTAAAAAAAAACAACAAAAAACAACAAAACCTTAGAATCATAGTTAATTAACATGCAATAAAAAGAGGGTTTCAATTAACAAATCACCTCAATACACTGATTCTTTATTATTTATTTCTTTAAGGAAGAAAAAAAAGGATATATCTAAGTATATAAATAAAATGATTGGTCAATTCAGCATAAAAAAAAAATAAAATAAGTAGCTAATGATTCCAAAATTATTCCAACTTACCATGATTTTTATACAGAAAATAAAATTTCAAGGCTCACAGATAACATAAAATTATTACTTAGCAATATTATATATATTATACATATACACACCCACTGACATACCAAAAATCATGCTATAGTAGTATACCTTGATTTCATGGAGATGTTCAGTATGAACACCAACTGCTCATTACAAGGGGACATGAATAATCTGAACTCAAGCAGAGCATAATAGTGGATACATTCCATTTCTGAAATTTGCTGTGACATTTAACATCCTTTAATTTAGTGTATACCAGTAATAACAGATAAAAAGATTTACCGACCACCTTGGACAGCCCAGTGACTGACCTTCATGATTGTGATCAGAGATGTCTGTGTTGACAGATAAGCGACATTGGTTCAAATCATATCCCACTCCAATACAGAAGGCAGCTGGTCAATTCTACATTGCTTAGCTTGCACAGGATATGGGAACAGAAAACCCACCAGAAAGCCATTTTTATTATGACACTAAACATTGTTTCACCTGGATTCATACCATGCTGGAGGACTTGCAACATGGCATAGTACAAACCACATGAAGATATGAATCACAATTATTAAGGAATCATGCAGGGTGGCAGTGGTTTCATAATGGCGTGGATTGCATGAGTTGGTTCACCTAAATATGCCATTGACTACTAGTGACTATTATGACAGACTGTTTAATGACAATTTGCATTAGAATTCATTTCAGGAGCATTCTGGCAAACTTGCAGTTACGTCGATAACATTTACTTGACATGAGCTCAATGAAGCATTTTATGGGACAGAGTTTTATCTGTATACAATATCATGCACCTACAAATATCAAAGAGGTATGGACAGGTATAACATGGATCAATATATATTTAGGATTTTCCTGATCAGGTGCAATTAAAGGCATGTGTGTGTACATATATATATATATATGTGTGTGTGTGTGCACACGCACACACACACAGCAGTGAAAAATTCTTGACCCAATTAAGGGACTGCACCAAAAATTTGATGCTTGATCAGATTTGAAGAAATGAGGCAAGAACTTTTCAGCTCCCACCCACCATATATATATATATATATATATATATATATATATATATATATATATATATATTGAACTAGAGAAGCAATTCCAACATATGGTACCATTGAAGTCATTGTGATCAAGTGTTTGGGTGTACTGGCCTTGTCCAACTACTGATCACATCAGATTATGCACCATCTTCCAAAAACTGTAGCTATGGTCCAGTCAGCATAGTTACAGTATAAACCACAGACTGGCTCCATAGAATGTTGAAGAAACACAAATATGCTGAAGCAGCAACTCAGATGAGTACACTCATAAAGTCTTTTTTTGTTGTTGTTTTTACTCTATGACTATATATACTTTATGACATACTAAATCACATTTACTAAATATCTCTATACAAGAGGATGAGGGGATATATTTTCCAACTAATTTTTTTTTAATAAATGTTGATTAACATCTTCATATCCTGCTCTGAGCCTTTTAAAATTTACATGCCATAAATTGTCTAGATGCTGAATTAATTTGGACTGAATTGTTACATCAATTCATTTAGCATTCTTTTCAAATATTTAGATATCAAAACTTTCAAATATACATAAGATTTCTCTATTAATTAATTAGACTTAATTATGGCCAGAAAACAAACTTATGAATAAGTAAACTGGATCAATTTGTACTTTTTCTTTTATATTTGCACCTTTTAAAAATGATATTAGAACATCTGAAATAATCAATTCTATAATTCATTTCTAACCATAACATGCTGACATGAGAAATGTCAAATAAAAAGTCATTAACAGATAATTGAGGGAAAAAAAAAATAAAGAAAAGAGTTTTAAGTTACTTAATACACAGATGTAACAAAAAAAATTATTCCTAAATACAACATAAACAGATGTAGGTGAACTGATTCATAAACTTTATCAATTCCACATCTGTTTGGAGTAACTGGAAAAAAATGAATGGAAATTAATGGCTAAATTTTATCTTTAAAATGTTAAATGTATATTAAGTGTCACTTTGTTGTTCTCATGAATAAAAAGCCATTCAAGACAAGACAAAAAAAAAAAAAAAAAAAAAAGAAAAAAAAAGACAAACAAACAAAAAACCCAAAAAGAAAATAAATGTAAATACTTTTATTTAATTTTCTTCAAATGATTCTAGCAAATTGCAATGTTTATTTTTGACAGATAAATAGATGGAAGGCTACTTTATTACCACCCCCATTTGAAGTAGAGACACCATACTTCAAAAGAAAAGTCTCCTCTGAAAAGATGATGCACATTTATGGAAACATAAAAATTTTCGGGCTCAAAAATCTTCCTTCATTCATTGGCAGGAAGTGAAAATAGAAAGTCTGATGAACATAAACATTAGAATAATCAAAGTTATCCAATAAACCACCACTCTTTTCAATCTTTAAGGAAAATCTTGGTCTGGTCTGAATATGCTTTTTAGAACAGTATCACATTTTGTTTCCTTTTTTGTTATTTTTTTCTTGTTTATTTTTATTTTTTTTTTTTTTTTTTTTTTTTTTAGTCAATGAATCTAAGGGTGTCATTTTATTTTGAGCAATCCAATTGACAAACTATTTAGCCAATAGGAGACCAAAAGCAGCTAAGACTTACCAATACTGTAGTCACTAAATGCTCATGAGTACTGTAAAATTTGATCAAGAAAAGGCTTTCAAACAAAATAATTACATTTCTATCCTATTCTTAGTACTGTAGTTTTTATTCACAAGGGATAAATTTACCTGCAATCAATAGGTTTAAAATGATTTTATTGAGTAACTTTTTTAAATTAATAATTTCTAAATGTTACTCAAAATCATTTAAAAAGTAGTTAAAATATTTCTTATAAAATAAAAATGCATAAGGTTTGTGAAACATTTTAAGTTTGTATTAACAGAAAAGTTGTAAAATTATTGAGAGAGAGAGAGAAAAAAAAATTGGGCAGGAGGAGAGAGAGAGAGAAAAAAAATGGGGCAGGAGGAGAGAGAGAGAGAGAGAGAAAAAAATTGGGCAGGAGGAGAGAGAGAGAGAAAAAAAAATTGGGCAGGAGAGAGAGAGAGAGAAAAAAAATTGGGCAGGAGAGAGAGAGAGAGAGAGAAAAAAAATTGGGCAGGAGGAGAGAGAGAGAGAGAAAAAAAATTGGGCAGGAGGAGAGAGAGAGAGAGAGAAAAAAATTGGGCAGGAGAGAGAGAGAGAGAGAAAAAAAATTGGGCAGGAGGAGAGAGAGAGAGAAAAAAAATTGGGCAGGAGAGAGAGAGAGAGAGAGAAAAAAATTGGGAGAGGAGGAGGAGAGAGAGAGAGAAAAAAAATTGGGGGAGGAGGAGGAGAGAGAGAGAGAAAAAAATTGGAGAGGAGGAGGAGAGAGAGAAAAAAAAGGAGGAGGAGGAGAGAGAGAGAAAAAAAATTGGGCAGGAGGAGAGAGAGAGAGAGAAAAATTGGGAGAGGAGAGAGAGAGAAAAAAAATTGAGGCAGGAGGAGGAGGAGAGAGAAAAAAAAATTGGGCAGGAGGAGAGAAAAAAAAGGAGGGAGAGGAGGAGAGAGAGAGAGAAAAAAAAATTGGGCAGGAGGAGAGAGAGAGAGAGAGAAAAAAAAATTGGGCAGGAGGAGAGAGAGAGAGAGAGAGAAAAAAAAATTGGGCAGGAGGAGAGAGAGAGAGAGAGAAAAAAAAATTGGGCAGGAGGAGAGAGAGAGAGAGAAAAAAATTGGGCAGGAGGAGAGAGAGAGAGAAAAAAAAAAAGGAGAGAGAGAGAGAGAGAAAAAAAAAATTGGGCAGAGGAGGAGAGAGAGAGAGAAAAAAAAATTGGGCAGGAGGAGAGAGAGAGAGAGAGAGAAAAAAAATTGAGGCAGGAGAGAGAGAGAGAGAGAGAAAAAAAATTGGGCAGGAGGAGAGAGAGAGAGAGAAAAAAAATTGGGGAGGAGGAGAGAGAGAGAGAGAAAAAAAATTGGGCAGGAGGAGAGAGAGAGAGAGAGAAAAAAAATTGGGCAGGAGGGAGAGAGAGAGAGAGAAAAAAATTGGGCAGGAGGAGAGAGAGAGAGAAAAAAATTGGGGGAGGAGAGAGAGAGAGAGAAGAGAAAAAAAGAGGGCAGGAGGAGAGAGAGAGAGAGAAAAAAAATTGAGCAGGAGGAGGAGAGAAAAAAATTGGGCAGGAGGAGAGAGAGAGAGAGAAAAAAATTTGGGCAGGAGGGAGAGAGAGAGAAAAATTTGGGCAGGAGGAGAGAGAGAGAGAAAAAATTGGGCAGGAGAGAGAGAGAGAGAGAAAATTTGGGCAGGAGGAGAGAGAGAGAGAGAAAAATTTGGGCAGGAGGAGAGAGAGAGAGAAAAAATTTGGGCAGGAGGAGAGAGAGAAAAATTTGGGCAGGAGGAGAGAGAGAGAGAAAAAATTTGGGCAGGAGAGAGAGAGAAGAAAATTTGGGCAGGAGGAGAGAGAGAGAAAAATTTGGGCAGGAGGAGAGAGAGAGAGAAAAAAAATTGGGCAGGAGGAGAGAGAGAGAGAAAAAAAATTGGGCAGGAGGAGAGAGAGAGAGAGAGAGAAAAAAAATTGGGCAGAGAGAGAAAAGATTGAAATTGATGTGAGAGAGAGAAAAGGAGAAAGAGAAATTGAAGAGAGAAAGAGAAATTAAGGAGAGAAAACAAAAAGATGAAAAATTTGATAGCAGCTTGTAAGTTAGCAACCTTGTGAGTGTACAGCTTTTAAGATATTTCTTTTTATTAATAAAGTCATATATGAACATATTTCAAGTATTAGAACAGATAGCTCAGAGGATGGAAACAACTTAAAAATCTGTGTGCAAGCCAAATAACTTGTCAACGGTAACACCAAGATACTAGTACACCGTTATGAATGGCCAAAGACAAATAGCAACATTAAGTGTAATAATTTCTTTTTATGTTTACAGGATGAATCTAAATATTGTACATATTAATATATGGCCTCAATGAGATGGCTCAATGTTCAGGAAGAAAAGGGACTTTCAATATACAAAAACTTGACAAATTTTACAAGAGATCAATCATATTAGGCAATATGAAAATAATTTCAAAGAAAAGAAAAATAAAGATGAAAGGGGAGAAAGAGATTTAGAAATATTATTATTATTTATTATTATCTCTTTATCACTTAGCATCACAATCTTTGCTTAGGATGGCATTCACTCACACACTCAAAAAAAAAAAAAAAAAAAAAAAAAACTCCAGATATTTGAATGTAATGATTAGCTAGTGATTCTAATTTACACAGAATATGACCAATATAATTTGATAAACAAATTTTGTATGGTTTTTCGAAACAATTCAGTTTTGAGATAAATATGATTTATACATAATGCAAAATTCTTCAATGATTGGCATAATGGAAAGTGATTACATTACAGCACATATTACAATAATGCATGTAGTTATTATTAGTGGTGGTTGCTTATCCTGGGTATTTTCATACCTGATAAATGCTAAAACATTTTCATAGGCCACAGCTTACCCAGCAGTAAATTACAACTAGTGAGCATAAACACACATGTACACACAAAAATTGGAAAGTTTTGAAAAAAAGAAAAGAATATATTTAACTGCAAAAAAATGACATTTTTTGCAGAGCGAAAATTCTACTCTCTCTCTCTCTCTCTCACACACACACACATTTAAGCTATTGTATTGCCTGAATGTTGAATCTATATTTCCCAAGCCGTACTTCCCTGTTGCATGAAAAGAAAAATAGTGCATTTTTAAGTTTGCTGTTAACACAAATAGCCTGAAGCATTTTTAGAAAAGCTTACATTAAATAAATAATAATGGTTTTGTATTACCTGGAGAATACAGGTAAATGCTCGTATTAAATAAATAATAGCATTGTATTGAATTTTGCTTATATGGGAATGCAAATAAATAACATTGCATATCTTACTCTTGAGAAATTAATTTGCTCAATACTTTTGGTTTTAACAATGAATATTATGAACTTATCAAAATATAATTCTTCAAAAGTATTCTAAGAATTAAAAATATAGAAGTTTAAATCAATTCTGCATACATAGCAAAAATGATGGTAATGCATATTTTTTTCCTTTTTTGTAACAAAAGTAATAAATTTAGGTTAAATGATATAAATTAATTGCCAATCAAGATAAAGGTAAAAGCGTTATGATGGAAATTATTATTATTATTTATTTTTTTTATTTTTTTAAATCAGGAATGAGATCAATAATCATTTATGATTGAGTAGCTGAAGAATGAAGTATTGGTAAGTGTAGCTTATGAATTAATATATACACCATTACTACAGGTACCAACACCACAGATTTGCAACCATTATTTTACCTTAAAATGGCAACAGGAAATATATATATATATATATATATATATATATATATATATATGACCCATCCCACAAAGCTCTATATGTATGTATTAAAAAAGTAGTTTTATATGGCTTAAATTATTTCATATAAAATTAAGATACAACTTTGAAATATGAACTATTCTGATTTAACCAATTAATTTTTCAGCTTTTTTTTATTCATACAAAATTAACTTAAAAAACTAATAAATAGCCAATTGGATGTTATATCTAATAAATTTTCAGGTTAATATTTGGAGCCTTGTGGGTTGCATAGACCTATGAAAGAGAAAAAAAAATAGAAAGGAAAATTAAACTTGCATTCCTTTCATATAAATTTAAGGCAGAACTTTTTTTTATAGTAAAAACGACTAAATGCAAGAAGAGTATATTACAACAGCCGAGAACATCTTTACACTTATGACAGTTTAACATCAGTCAGGTTCAAAATACATCAATACAGATACAAATCACCAGTTAGAAAATGTTGGAGATATCTGTGTCTAAAAATTGCAATAATTCAAATTTTCTATTGACAATTCTCTTTCAAATTAATGGTCAATGTTTTGAAATTTCAGCTTAGTAGAGAGTATGTAATAAAAGATAAGAGATAAAGGGAGGAAACAGTGAATTAAGGACGTAAAATGATTTTTATGTTCCAGTTAACCCCTCCCCCCCAAAAAAAAACTAGAAAATAAGGCAAACAAATTTAGTAAAAATTAAATAATAAAAAATAATATTGTGTGCACATGTATAAGAATATGCTAGTTTATGTAGTATGTTTATGCACAAGAAAAGTTTTGTAGGCTAACAAATTAACTTCCAATAACAAGTGCCACTTAACATGGATCATATTTGTGTGACTAAATTAGAATATAAGCACACAGAATTCCAATAGGACATGCACTGAAGGACAAATTGTTCTTAGCATAAAAATAAAAAATGTGCAATGGAAATATATCCAGCAAGCAGAGAGCAGTGATGTTGATTCTTTTGATTTCTCCAAGTCATTATTATAGCATATAAACATGCATTATTCATGTAAAATTAGAGAATTAACGCATCTCAATTTCTTTTAATCATTTAAAAAAAATGGTGAAATTTGATGCAAATTTGTAATAGCATTCAGAAGCAATAGAATGTATGAATGCTAAGAAGGCCTCATGCATGCAGAAAAGATGCTATGCAGTGATCTTAGCAAGCATGAAGATAATACTATGTAGAGAAGTGAACAGGTTACATAGTGTGCTTTTGAAAGGTTATGTAGCATGAGGAATATTTACTACTGAAATAATAAGTGTATGCAAGAATGCTACATAATAATTCACTTACACAACTGTTGTGTGTGTGGGGGGCACCATGGGAGGCTACAAGTCAGCACTGCAATTTTGCAGGTGGGCAAGTAGTCTGCATGAAGACATTGGAATGGGTGGAACTACTTTCAAGTTTTTAGAATTTATAATGCACCTATGTTCAATAGACTGAACACTGAAATCAAGTGCAGGTTTCATTTGGACATTTTGTAAGTACCATGCACATAATCCAAGAATAGGCCAAATAAGGATGGTTAGAATTAACCTAGCAGAAAATATTTGCATTTTCCAAGGGATCAAGAAGATATTTAAAATGTTTTAAGACTTTCCTTTTTTTATCTTTTTTACAGTAAAAATAATGTTTTAAATTTTTCCTTCATGAAGACACACCACTAGCAAGCACAAGTTCTACAAACACTTGTGTCTTCATATGGCAGTATGAATTGTATATTAGCACATATGGTTTTGGTATATGCATTTTGTAGTAACAATGTTTTCACAGTATAACTATGTGTACATAATAAAAATTTTCATTATTCCAAATCTTGCTTGATGAAGTCATTTTCTGTAACTAGGGTTGTCTCTTCCATCCTTTTAATGATATATTTCATCCATTCCCTTGAAGTATAGAGTTGGCAGTTACACTTTCTTTGGCAGTACAACACTGCTGCCAGCACACTTTCTTTGGCAGTACAACACTGCCGCCAGCTTCACACATGTTGTTTGTTCTTTAAGGACCTCAGTACAACCAACTCTCAATAAAGGCCGTCTTTAACAGATGAGATTCAAAACAAGCAATGACAGCTCTCTTCTAAAAAAAAAAAAAAAAAAAAAAAAAAATGGATTGCAGCCAAAAAACAGTGGACTGAGTTTATTTTTCTTTGAACGCATTGTTTTTTTTCTTTTAAATGGTCATCTTCAGCTGCATACATATTTTTTTCTTGTAGACAATTTCACACATTCTATAACCCAGACAACAATACTTTAGCCACCAAGGGTGCACACATATCATGGTTTCTTGAGTACAAAAGAGGTAATAATCAAAGCTGAAAAAAAAAAAAAAAAATGATCAAACAGAGATTTCATAAGTAGAATCATACATGCTGCGTGGTTTATCTTCTTCATGACGAGTTTCTGATCTTTTAGATGGAGTAGATTGTTGTTTTTCTTTAAGTTCCACAGCTTCACTGACTTCCAAAGCTCGCACAAATGACATTGGACGTCGAGGTCCTCTTATATCTTCAGCTTCACATGGCATAGAAGAGTAATCCCCTGATGATTGATGTCTATGAGGAGAATAGCTTACACTGTTGCCATGTTCATATTGTGGTCGTCCAGCCCCTGTAGGATACTGATAATGCTGTGGTCTATTTTTACTGTCCAGAGTATAAATAACTGGACTTCCTGTCCTGCCAAAGCCCCTATTTACATTTGCACCCACATAGGGTGCATGTGAAGGTCCTGCAGATGGCATTGTCATTTGTGGCCCAGGTGTGAGAGATGTAAACCCATTTGAACGAGGTGTATGATAGCCTATAGGAGGCTTACCATAACTAGATTTAGTAGGACTGGGAGAGCTGGACTGGGATTTAACAGTGGGAGAACTAATAGGAGAAACTACTTCAGGTGTTGCTACAGGAGCTTTTTTATCAGCTGGGCGTGTTCTCTGAGGTGATTGAGTGTATAAGTTTCGTGGTTTACTGATTCTGGGAGATATTCTACCAACATGATTTTCTTGATGGGCTTGTACAGCTGCCCCAACTGATGTTGGGTTATTAGGATCAAAAAGATTGCTGTAGGATCCTGACTGTTTGGGTGGACTTGGCTCACAGTCCATTGATTGACTCTGTCTTTCTGTTTCTTCATCTAAAGATAGACTGGCTTGCTGAAACATAAGCAGTTTGAGCATTTGAATGATTTTAAGGTCAATGTATACTATGCAAGGATTTAAAAAAGCGTTGAAAGAAAAGTAAAATTTCATTAATATTTTTATTTTATAATATTTTAAGGTTCAATTATGAGATAATCAATCTAATTATTCATTAAACAAAATATTTAAGTAAATAAAAATGATAGCTAAATTTGAGGATCATACTGATAATTATTTGTAAATGAGTTAATATTTATTACAGTTATATTAAATAAGAATAAAGGAAAAGTACTTTTTAAAAAATGATACATACCCTATGATTGGAGGAGTTGTCATGTTTTATACCATTGCTATTATCCATAAATATTTTCACATCTTTTTCAGCAGCAACATAAGTCACTCTAGAAGACTCAATTTGAACAGTTTTTGTTCTTGGCTTATATGATACTAGCCTGAAAAGTAATATAATTGAACATTTCAGTATAATAAAAAACAAATCCTGATATGCCATACTTTCTTTAACATTTTTGAAAATTATAATATGAAATGAAGCTGAGGAATGATTAAAATGTTTTTGGCCCAAGGCCTAATCAAAATTTCAATGACCAAAGATCATAATCTTATTTTTTTTGGAATAGTTAAAGAAACTTGAAAAATATGCCAAGTGTGTTCAGCTGTGAGGTAAATATGTGGAATAAAATATATGTCATGTCTATTGGTCATTCCTTTTGATCGACCCAAGAACTTTTCAGCATTCTCCCATAGAAAATATGTTTCAAAGAACTTTATTTGTTAACATTCAATTAGAGTTCATTATCCAAAACATTTACAACTTTCCTTTTAAATGAAAATTATTCAAAAGAATTTATTACAAATTTCATAATTATATACAAGAAAAATATAGTTTTAAGGTATGCTATATTTATAAGTGCTCAATTTTAGGAATAGAGCATATGTAAATAGAAAAGTAAACATGAAGATCAACACTGAGCAGCAACAGTGTTTTATGCTTGAACACTGTCTTCAGGTCGTGTGTATGTTTATATATATATATATATATATATATATATAATAAAAATAATTATTTCACAACTTTATTTTTTATATGTATGAACAAATACAAAAAAATGTATAAGCAAATACCATTTTGGGAATTATAATTTCATTACAACAAATCATTCATATATAATTCAGATAGGAGAAAATGCTGGAAAGTTCTTAGACCAACCCACTTTCAAAAATCTGAACAATAAATATCAGAATTCTTTTGGAAATTTTTTTTTTTGGTAGCACCAAAAACCTTTCAGCATTTCTCTTATAATAGATGACCTAATTTTCAACATATTTATTTTGTTAACATATTAAGTAAGTAAATAAAATATTATTGTAGATGTAAACTTCATTTTGAGGAAGATTTTTTTTTTTATTTATAGATATTTTGCATATATAAAAATAAATATACATTTGTTCCTCACAGTTCAGCAGTTTCATGCATGTAGCAATCATCAGGTATAAATTGAAAACTGACAGATTGACTGTGCATGAAACTCAGTTACACCAAACAGGGAGGAACAAATGCATATTTATACTTTGTATAAATTTTAGCTGCCATTTTACATCAAACACAGGTTTATTACCACCACTCACTGTGCACTATATATTACACACATACACAAGAGAGAACATGGGCCCATGTCAATTTTAACATAATAGAATCTAACAGTTCATTTTTTTTCTTCTTTTAGAACTACCAGACTACCATTCCACATGTTTTAATTATAGTGATGAAGACTAAAGTCCGAGAGTCCAGTCTGCCAATAAATAGGGCAAGAGTGTTACCTTTCCCAAGGGTACTTGTGTGAAAGTGAATGCAATGAACTAATTTCCATTTCTGAGAAACCACTACAGATATTTGTAAGAAACTGATAGAAATAACAGATACATTTAATAAAAGCTTTATAATTTTATATTACAAAAAAGAAAACATTTTTTATAATGCCTAAATGGAATTAAAGCTTTTAGGTAGTTTGAAATTTTTATAGTAATACAAAAGTATTGGATATTTCTCATTAAGACACAGCATATAACAAACTAAAATAATATGATGAGAATATTCTAGAAATAAAGTATATACAGGGTAATATTACCTTGGCCATTGAGGGCCACAGAGGGCATATTTGCAATTTTTACAACAGCCACGAGTAAATGGATTTGGGCTGCCTCTAAATTTTCCAGTAACCTAAAATCAAAGATGTTAATTTATAAAAAAAAATAAATTTTAATTAGTTTTAACATCTGCAAAAGGCTTATCTACTACAAAGAAAGTAATATTTAATCTTTTATACAAACTTACAATATATTTCATTTAGAAAAAAAATGAATATAATACAAAAGTTAAAAGTATGACAAAGAAAAATTATCATACTACCAAATGAATTCTTGCAACAAGTTAAAACATTTTCATGGAGAAAAATGAATAAACAAATAAGAGTATTTAAAATTAACTGTAAAACTGATAATTTTTTAACTGCTAAAGTTTGTTAGCTGTGAATTATTATGACTGATGTAAAACTCCACACAAACTCCATCTGTAAATAAACATATGCAGCCACAGTTAAGAACAAGTACAAAGTTTTAGAAATTCAAAATTTAGAAAGTTTTTGGAAATTCAAAATAGAACACTTAAAAGAATAAGAACTAGTCACGATAGTAAAAAAAAAATCCCAAGGAAAGAAAGACAAAAAAAAAAAAGAGGGTGACAACTAAAATTTTTTAGCTGAATACCAAGAAATGGCACAAATTATAAAAGGCTAGACAAAAGCATCAGAGACAAATGCATGCAGGCTAAGGGGGGAATGGGGCTAAATAGCAAATGTGCAAACACTGAAAAGTAGAATGACAGATTCAGTGAGTATGCAAAATAAATAAATAAATAAATAAATAAAGTGTGGAAGGTAAAAACAGAACATAAATCATGATCATCACCAGAAGGTGTAAATGGTTTATTTTGTTTTACAGCATATCAACCTCAATGGGTTATTTAATGCTGACAAAATTTTTATTGCTGTTAATGTCCCTACCAAAAAATGTCTTGCTGGTAATGTTTTTTTCCTTCAAAAATGTAAATTAATAGCTACTAATATTTTTCAAAAAATGAATAGCTGATAATATTTTGTTTGTAATAATTTTCCTTTAAAAATGTATTGCTGTTGTTAATTTTTCCTTTATAAAAGCATTGCTGGTAAAAAAATTTTCTCAAAAATGTATTTCTGGTATTAATACCTATTTTTACACCTCCACAGCAATTTTAACCCTAGTTTAGGGGTTGACTATTTGCCCATAGCTGTTGAATATAGTTTAATGTCTTATCCAGGACATGAATGTAGTTTACCCAGGACAAATTCTCCCCACTTAAATATTTGCCTACAACTGGGATCCCAACAGGTGCTACCACCCTGGGTCAGGGTGGACATGGGAACACCAGCAATTAAGAGCCGATTCCATCCTCAAAACCTTCCAATGAGAGGCCTTGCTGTCGGACATAGTTTATCGTCTTACTCAGGATGCAAGAAGGTATAAAATCCAAACAAAAACGATCTTTCAAGGGTGTGTGGAGGGGAGGATACAATAACATTACATAAGAGAAATTTTACATGACATCAGAGGAGGGAAACAAACCTGCAATATATCAAAGAACCAGTGATGCTAAAATCTGAAGTAATAACAGAATGGACAAAATGAATAAAGCAGCACAATCAGATGAAATTGTCAGAGATGCTGACAGCCTTAAATGAAAGTGGGATTGAGAAGATCATTGGATGATAAATGAAATATACAATGGTGGTGAAATACCAGAAGATGTAAGTAGATCAATTTTCATAGTATTGTCAATGAAAAAAAAAAAAAAAAAAAAAAACTGAATGAATAAGTTTCAGCCAATGACATAACAAAACTACATTAGGATAATAATAAACAAAGCTTGTAACAGAATCAGATTAGAAATAGAGGAAGAACAATGTAGTTCTGTAGAAGGTACTGAAACAAAAAATGCCATATTCTTGGTCAAAATGTTGTCAGGACAAGTAACATTGTTTTTCATAGATTACACACAGGCATTTCATAATGTCTGACACTTTATCAAAGAACTTCTTAAAATATTAAAACAACTTGATTTACACAGAAAGGATATACACGTATATTTGTATTAGGACAAACGGCTTACATGTGAACAGACTGAGTACTCCATAACAGAGAGGAGTGCAACAAGTATGTGTTTTCTCACTGGATTTATTTAATATGTACATAGAGCAAGATCATTCTAACAGAATTAGAGGATCTACAATAATTCATTATTGACTGATATAAGCATAGAAAAATATACAATGCAGATGAAATTGAGTTGATGGCAGATTCAAAAGAAAAAAAAAAAAAAAAAAAAAAAAAAAAAAAAAAAAAACAAAACAATGAAACAAACAAGTGATAAAAATAAAACTAATGATTGAGATGTAAGATGACATAAGGAATAGTCCAAGATGTGACTTACAAATTGGGGGTTCCAAAATTAAACAAGTTAGAAATTTAATTATCTTGGGTAGTGTAATAAAATTCAAAAGTGCATAGGAATAGTGAAACTTTTCAGAAAGAATTCTCAGGAATTGAAAAATATCATTAGAAATGAAGAGTGATAGATTGATATAATTTTTAAGTCCCTACATGGCAGAGAAAATTGGACAATTTCATAACAAATGAAGAAAATAAGCAACTGAGATGTGGTTCTACCAATGAATGTTGAGACTACTATGAAGAGAATACACACTAAGGTGAATAGGATTTAAAAAGAAACTTACTAACATAGAAATATTCAGCTGAAAGTTTTGGAACACATGAGGAAAGAAGACTCAAAGAATTTAATATGCACAGGACACACTGAAGGCTACATAAACAAAGGAAAGCACCAAAGTAACATACTTGACATATTTATGAAAATAGAAGAATAACAAATACCAAAAAGAGAAAAGAGCGTATATAGCTTATTTTATGGAATTCTTCCTTCTATCAGTATACAACTAAATTATCCTGAAACTTAGCACAAAACAATATGAATAAAACTACCAAGAGTAAAATTTAATCAGGAAAATATTAAAAAAAAAAGAAAATGTAGGAGTTCAATTCCTAATTTCTGTATGTTGAGTAATAACAAATGCAAGATCTTGAAAAAGTAAAGTTTATGTAGTAAAATCTGAATTTATTCCTTGGGTTTTATTCCACAAAGAACATGACAATATACATAACAGTAATCTATGTAGTGTTTCAGTAAGAAAGAAAGCCTATCAACATATAAAAGAAATATACAAAGAACTTTTCAGAGTAGGCCTCATGCAAGAAGTAGCACATTAATGACAATAAAAGAAAGCATAACAGATAAACAAAATAACTATAGCTCATCAGTAAAATAATCTACACAAGAATAGAAGAGTTTCTGAGCAAACACTATCTCAATTGCAATGACTAAAAAGTAACAATATGCAAAAATCTAAAATAAATTTTATATTACTAAAATGACTAAAATAAGTTAATTAGGTTAGAACTATTCAGAATAAAAATTATGATGTTCATGTTACTATAATTAAATATTTGTGTAGAAAAATTATCTGTTTAGCTAATTATATTTAGTAATTGTATTTACAAGGAAACTGATTACTAGCACTTCATATTAATTCCAACTTGGGCAAAAAAAAAAAAAAAAATACATTGATCTTTTGTTTATGAAATCAGTATAATTTCAAAATTTGATATAAATTAAACCTTTATAGGCACATTAACAAAAGAAAAGTATCTGTAAATTCAAATTTAAATATTAATATAGGAAGTAGTTTTTAATTCAAAATTAAACCACTTGAAAAAAATTGATCAAAGTATAAAGGAAAATCAAACTTAAGTATTTTACTTGTATGAAAAAATAAATAAAACTGTTAATACAAAATCTAAAGAATTCATACTATATACCCACATTTGCCTGTCTATAAAACATTTACAAAGTATATTCTTAATAATATAATTTCATATAATAATTATATTATAATTTATATGATATATAATTATAATTTCATGATATGTACAAACAAAAATTTAGTGAAAATCATTTCTTACATATATTTCTGGGAAGACAAGCAGACATTATAATAGTAAGAATTCTTGAGTCTTCATTAAAAATTTTGTCCCAATATAAGGATTTGGAAATGTAATCATTATTTACTAAGTGATATTTAAATATAGCTTATTAACAACTACATATAATCTTTCAGTTGGTTCAATCAACATAAATGAACCATGAAAACAGAAGAGTAAAATATATCTTGAAAAAAAAAAAAAAAAAAAAAAAAATACTCACTTGCTCATTGGTTGTTCGTCCTCTAGCAACAAGAACTGTATGGAAACCAGTAAGGCCTCCAACTGGAATTATCAATAAGCCAATAATAACCATAACAATAAGCCTAAAAACTAAGTTAAGGAATAGAATACTGATTAAATAATGTTAAAAAAAATAAAGAAAACTTTGCAATAAACTCAGAGTTCAGCATTTAAATTTGACTGTGACACATTTGAACTCTAATACAACACGAAGCAGTTCTGCATGGATCCAATTTATTAACAGATGCTTATGGCACATCCAGAATATAAAATAAAATTAATAGAAAAATAATTATAAAACTACAGGCTATGAACATATAGATACTTCATTTGTGTTGGATTTAAAACAAAAAACATCTGAATCTACAATATATTTTATCACTTTTCTAATATTAAGTTGAAATCAAAATCATTTTGTTTAGCTATTATAACTTTAAAATTTTTGTTTGATTATATAAAGCATAATTATACATAAAACTTAATGTTTTGGGTTTTCTTCTAAAGACTATTTCATGTCAAATTGACTAAATTTTTCAACTGATATTGCCCATAAAAAGGGATGTAAATGAGACCCTTTCCTAAAGTATAAAAAAAAAAAAAAAAAGTCAATATCTTCAGAAATGGCAAGAGATATTTTCAGTGTCTCTTAAAAATAAAATCTTAAATGTCAGGGAATCTTACCTTCAAAGATTTCTCCTCATTTTGGGAATGCACGGATGCAATTTTCGACGGATTTGCACCAAAATTTACATGCACATGTTCCAAGTTAGCGGGAAGGCCAAGACCGACTTTGCATTTCCCAACTCCCATTGATAGTGGAAATAATAGATTTTTTCATGCTTCTACTGCAGTTTTCATGTAGTTTGCGCCCATTTTGTACTGGCCAGAGTGAGAGCCAATAGCTGACTGCCACAAATAGGCAGGAAGATTCTATTGGCCAGTGTGAGAGCCAACAGCTGACTGACATGAATGCTAACTAGCATACTAGCATGCAAAAAAAAAATAAATCAATAGCTGCATTCATCACAAGTGGAAAAAATTTAAATCTGTATGGCTCATTCGCTTGCTTAAACTCAACGTTGATTTTGATTGTGCAGAACTGGGTTGGGTGTGAAAAAGTATTTGTTGTTAACATTCTTTTTTCATTCGGTTTTTCCAGTTATGAGTCCTTTTTTAAAGCTGATCGTTTCATGTTCATTTTGTTTAGTTCTTTTTTCGTAACAGATTTAATGTTTAGTATAGAGCTTAGAAAAAATTTGCAGTGTGAGACAGGCAAGAAGTAAGGCATGTAGCAACATCAGCATGGCAAAGGGCACTCCTTTAAAGGCAAGGAAGGGTAAAAATATTTTAAGTCAAGTGATAGCGATTGCTGTATGAGTTGTACGATTTTTTAATTGAGCATGGCCATGCTGCTAGTTTTGCATAAGACTGATTCTAAATTAGAGGCTCAACATTTTTTTTTTAAATTACCAAAAGTCAAGGAATTATCAAATTTAAATGAAAATTTTGGTATATATTCATAAGCTAATTACTTTTATAATGAATAGATTTTTTTTTTTTTTTAAAAAAAAAAAAAAAAAAAAATCTGAGAAAATGCTATTCTTTTTGTAATAACCAATATTTTTATGACTAAATTTTACTCTAAAAAAGTGTTTTAGTCGTAAATTTTTACATTCCCATAAAGATTAATCACCAACGCACCTCCACTGAAAAAAGGTTTACAAAGATTCCAACACAACACAAACAGGATTTCCTTAAGAATTTGTTTTAAAATCAATATTTCAGTTTTGGAAAATTTTCCATGTGCTGAAATCTTTAAACATTTTTATTTTTTTAATAATCATTTTCTCAGTTTTATCTTTTTAGAAATGTAAAGAAACACAGATTAGAAATTTTATTTTAATTACTAGCCATGAACTTCTGGTTATTATTACTATTAGGTAAACAAAAAAAAAATCTTCCTTAGTGGGTGATCTAAGAATAAAAAATGATTTTACCAATATATTACCCTCTTAATTGATTTAAGAGAACTGTTCAGAAAGAAAATTACAATTAAAAAAAATAACTGATACTGAAATTAGCATTTCTGCCCCCCTACTCCCCAGTAGGTATGGGGGGCCCTCCATGCAGTTGAGAGATTCAGGGGTAGTAAGCGCTAGACTGGCTGATTATTATAATTGATGATTGACATATAACTTGGATAGAAAAAAATAGAAAGTACAAAAAGCAAAAATGCTCCTGAAACTAACTCATTTGGAGCTCCAACCTCACCAAAGATTCCTGCATAATACACATCTCACTGGTGATGCAGATATACAATGTATATTATTAGTTAATGACTGACAATGTAACATCAGTTTTAAAATAATAATAAAAAAAAATATGGTGGATGGATATAAAACGTTGCTGGAAAAAAAAGAAGAGAGAGAGGCCACAGTGGGACTCCCCAAAACGTCACCCTCAATGGTTAGGGGTAAGATGTACCAACCCTACATATTAGTTATACGAGTTATTGCTTACTTGGTAAACCTGGTCCTAGAGTGAAAAGACTAGAGTGGCACTCAGACTACTTTCACATGACAATATTAACAGATTATCAATAGTGAAATGTTTCTAAACATGCAGTAAATAGTACTACAAATTTATATTAGCACAGATACTGTTTGACTTAAATGATATATCATCATCATTATTATTTTTTGATGCACTGAACAACTGGGATATCTAGAAATCATCCCGTGATGTAAATGCAAAAAACACTATATTCCAACTCCAGGCAATTTAAACTGGAACCATCTGATAACTGGATGCACATTTGCACTAAACAAATAATTTGTAATACAATATAAATTTAATAATAGTGTTACATGTATGCAAGAGAAAAGAATGTTTGTTATATAGCAAGCAATTAAAATCTATGGAATATACTTGTATTTCTAAATTTTCATCCTGTTTAAATAGAATTGAACATATATACCACTAGTTTATTATGAATAACATGAATAGGTTGGGAAAATGACTCCAATATGGCTAAAATTTCATCTGTAAACAGCTCAATATAAAACATTCACTTCTAAGATGGCAATTATTAGAATAGTTTATAATAGTTTAAAATGTCCAGAGACTTTTGCATGGTACTGTACATTTAACCAAACTATGTCCTATTGAGTATCAAAAAGGACATGAAAGTTTAATGAGTTTAATTGTCACAAAAATAAAGAATTGTGAATTTTTAATCCATTCACTCATTGTAGAGATGTAATGTTCTTTGGAACTAAACTTATAAAAGGATACGCAATAATATTGCCAGTCTGAGCCAAATCCTTTTTATGATTTAATACATACACCAAACAGAGAGAAAATATACTTATTTTATGAATAGTCAATGAAATCAAAAACAAGAAGAAATATCTATAATTTCTTCTTCCTATGCAGTTGTTTACCCATGGACAGTGATGATCAAATGTCTGAAAGAGATGAAAGTCAAGAGTTAAGCTAACAAAATTTATATTAAGGGAACAAAAACAAAAAAAAACACATGTATCTTAGCAAATATATAAGCAATATATGAATAATATTGTATGGAAGCCGACAGTTTCATGCCTTAAACAGTAATCATGATGGTGTGAAACTGACAATCACAATGTAGTATACAAATGCTCTATTCCTGATTTTGGACACTAAATATAGCAAAATTTAATATATATAATAAAACATTAAATTTTGTTGACATTTTTAAAAAAAAAATCATTAGGATAAGATTGGTTTGTAAAATTTATTTAATGATACATATTTTAATTTTCCATACAATTATTGCTTTATTAGTCATTAGATTAGTGGGCCTATATTCATTATTACTATATAGATGAAAACTAACAAAAATCCCCAAATATACAAAAGGAGGAAAAAAATCATTTTCATTAGAAAGCCATTTTAAAGAGTACAAATTACACTATAATTTACAAAATTATCATTTTGTTGCATTATATTTTTTTTTTTATTTTTTCAGTAAAAGTCAACTTGCATATTTTGCAGAAATGTTTGCTTTTCTGACCTACAATTTTGCTTTTAGACCTATAATCACAAAAATGATTTTTTTAAAATTTGCTTTTTTATATCTGGAATTATAAATAACAATTAAGATCATTTTAGATGAATATACACATATTGGTTGTTATACTCACAACATTTTGGCTGTTATAAACTACAGCCTTCTTCAACCAATATGAGTATATTAGTCCCTACGTAAAGGGCATATAATTCTTCATCTAAAAAAAAAAAAAAAAAAAAATTCCAACATAAATCATTAACAAGTTTTAAAATATTTCCTGTTAAAACTTTGACAATAAAAGAAAAATTACTTCATTTAGTTTATATCACCATAAACAAAATATTATGTATGAATATTTTATCTTTAAAGACTATTTTTGTATTCTATGTGTATGGAGGAAATAAAAATGTTTATTAATAGAATCACTTGTTTTCTCACTTTTTTGATGCAAGTATTTGATTGGTTTGGTTTGTTTTACAGCATACCAACTTCAATGGGTTTATTTAATGCGAACAAAATTTTTTATTGTTGGTAATATTTTTTTTATCGAAAATCTATTTCTGGTAATATTTTTTTCTTCAAATATGTATAGCTAGTAATATTTATTTTCCCAAAAAATGTATTGCTGGCATTAACTTTTTCTTCAAAAATTTATTCCTGGTATATTTTTTTTTTTACAAAGTATTTCTCATATTAAAACCTATTTTTATACTTTCATAGATTTGACCCCAGTTTGATTTGGTTTGTTTTACTCAATGCGTTATTTAATGCCAACAATTTTTATTGTTAGTAATATTTCTTCCTTCAAAACATCTATTTCTAGTAATATTTCTTCCTTCAAAACATCTATTTCTAGTAATATTTCTTCCTTCAAAACATCTATTTCTAGTAATATTTCTTCCTTCAAAAACATCTATTTCTAGTAATATTTCTTCCTTCAAAACATCTATTTCTAGTAATATTTCTTCCTTCAAAACATCTATTTCTAGTAATATTTCTTCCTTCAAAACATCTATTTCTAGTAATATTTCTTCCTTCAAAACATCTATTTCTAGTAATATTTCTTCCTTCAAAACATCTATTTCTAGTAATATTTCTTCCTTCAAAACATCTATTTCTAGTAATATTTCTTCCTTCAAAACATCTATTTCTAGTAATATTTCTTCCTTCATAAAATGTATTTTAGTAAATTTTTTTTCCAAAAAAAATATTTAGTTAGTAATTTTTTTCCTTCATAAAATCTATTTTGGTAATTTTTTCCTTCATAAAATGTATAGTTGGGAATTTTTTTTCCTTCATAAAATGTATAGTTGGGAATTTTTTTTCCTTCATAAAATGTATAGTTGGGAATTTTTTTTCCTTCATAAAATGTATAGTTGGGAATTTTTTTTCCTTCATAAAATGTATAGTTGGTAATATTTTTTCCTTCAAAAAAATGTATAGTTGGTAATATTTTTTCCTTCAAAAAAATGTATAGTTGGTAATATTTTTTCCTTCAAAAAAATGTATAGTTGGTAATATTTTTTCCTTCAAAAAAATGTATAGTTGGTAATATTTTTTCCTTTCAAAAAATGTATAGTTGGTAATATTTTTTCCTTTCAAAAAATGTATAGCTATTTGTATTGCTGGCATTTTTTTTTTTTTTTTTGAAGTATTGCTGATAATTTTTCCTTCAAAAAATTATTCCTGGTAAAAGTTTTTTTTTTTTCTGGTATTAAAACCTATCTTTACACTTTCATATGACTGACCGGAGTTTGTTAACTGGGACCCAAGCAGAGTGCTACCACTCTGGGAACACCAGCAATTAAGAGGTGGTTCCATGTTCCTCAAAACCTCCTGATCAGAAGCCTTGCTGTGGAACACAATTTATTGTCTTACCCAGGATATGGATATAGTTTATCGTCATACACAGGACAGATGAGTATTTGAATTAAAAGATATTGCTCTTGTGCATACATCTGCATTTTTCTTTTTATCTTATCTAATCATTTTATCTAAAATGCCACATTTACACATTTCATAGCATCTAAAAATATATAATAAAAATTTGTATTTATAAAACAAGTTGAAAATTTATACAAATTTTTATTCATAATATATTGACTTCCTTTTTATTTGTTCAAAATTCATACTGATGAACAAAAATTTGTACTCCAATTATTTAAAACTGGAAGTTAAAATGCAACTCAAACTGATATTTGCATAAATGGTATAAATTTTTGTTTTAAAATTGATTTTGAGATATTTCAAGAAAGGTTGAAGTTTAATTGACTGCAGTAATAGAGAAAGGGTTCACTTTTTAGTTTATATCCATGATTCCTTTTTAGAGATTTGAATAATTTCTCATCTTAGTTATATGGTAGGTTACAAGGATAAAGTTTCACTACTGATTAAAAAAATATAAAAACTTATGGCTACTTATCACCAGAGAAATTGGCAAATATGCTTGCATTCAACAGAGTTACTAATGAATAAATTAATTTCAAAAGTAGCTAACAGAAATGTTTACTTCCTTATCTTGTTTTTCTATAGAGTAAACCAAATAGCATAATTTTATGAATGTTCTAAATGTAAAACTTATTTTTTTAAAAAAAAAATTAATCAAATTTTAATTTCAGTATACTTATTTTCTTTAAAAATATATTCTCACTGATGTGTTAAAAGAATTTTTAAATGTAAGAAAACAATTTTAAATTTGCATAAGTTCTACAGTAATTGCAATATAAAAAAAATAACTTATTTCCACAATCCACCCATAAATTTGTTTATAGTAGAGTATGACGAGTTAGAAGCCATTGTCAAAATGCAAGATAAATAAGACAAACAGAATTAATAAAGCTTGGGAAATCAACACCGTATGTCGATGAATTTATTGAATACATTTTGAAAGTTTATTTTAGAGAAACTTTATATCCATATATATTGCTTTGAGTAATATTCAAAAATTATACTAATTATGATAAAATAAATTCTGTATTATTACTAATACTAACTGAATTTTAGATGAAATTATTGAATTTATGGGTTGATAAATGTAAAATTAAGATAGTGTTTCAAGTTATCTGATAACAATATTTTGCAAGTATTCAGCAAATGTTAAAAAAAAAAGAAAAAAAAAAAAAAAAAAAAAAATTGTTATTCTAAACAAGGAATACCCAAATCAACGGAAAAATATATACACTTCCACACATTGAATAAAACTATTTTTTTTAATTTTGAGAAAAAAAAAAAAAAACTATTACAAAATAATTTTAAAAAAATTTTATTTGTATGTTTAACCCATTCACAGTTGAGACACTCAAGTATTTCACATTGGCACCAGTAGTCACTGTTTAAGCTCTGCTAAGAAGTTCCTAGATTTCAAATAATGATTTTCAAGACAGGCTTTCCCACTTGCAAGGTAAGTATAACACAAATTTTCATTCCTGTCTATTTTTCTCATTTGGCTTTGTACCAGAATAAATTTAGTAAATATCTACATCTTAAATGTCAGTAATCAATGTAATGATTTTTTGTAATGTTTTAAAAATACTAATAGTACATTCATTTTTACACTTATATAACCCTGACTCTGCTCCCATGTTGTTGATCTGTTATCAGCTGTCCCAGTGCTATCAAAAGCATTGTATTTTTGATGTCATCACTTGGCAGTGTTTTTAATCATTATGACCATCATATGTCAGCATCAGCAAGCTAGGAGTCATTCAATTAAGATTTCAGGTGTGAAAACACAGTGGTTATGATAAATTCTTTGTCTTTGATAAAAACCAATTTCACAGAACAAACCAACAACAGGGGAAATGAAAACAAATTGAAGAATTTATAAGTACATAAAAAAGCAAATTATTAATCTTTCTATGTAGCCCTGTGGACAATTTTTTGTTAGGAAAATTATTCTACAGTAATTCATAATTATAGCAGCAAGAAGGGGAAAGTTTTATGAATGGATCCACCTTGTCTTCTCTACCTGGACCAACCTTTCTCTGACTGACTTTTACTCATCTCATTTATATAAGGAAGTTTGCACACATCTGGCATTGATTTATTGCTTGCTTTTAATAAGATATTTATGACCTTTCTTTATTCAGTAACGTATGGCTCTCTTTGGAATGCAATCAAGCTAAACCCCTGGTTTAAATTTTGGTAATAAATGAGGAAAAACAGTAATTTATATAAACATAACAATTTTAGAAAACCATAAATCTTTGTCTTATTACCTCAGAAATAACTGGGAAGGTTATTAAAGATTTAATCTTAGTAAATTTTGATGAATTCTTCTTGGGTTATTTCAGGTTCAAATCTTCAAGCCTTCTCTAAACTCATTTTATGAGCTTCTAATTATTCTTTATTAGTTTCTGTAAGTTTTTTTTTTTACTGTTTAATCTCATTTATTCCTTGAAATCATCATTAGGTATTTTCATGCAATAAAACATTGAACTAGGGTTACTGCCATTATATTTGTTAGATATGACAAAATCAAACCATTCCAAAATCACATTTTTGTTATTTAAGGTCAATTTATTATATATATATATATATATATATATATATATATATATATATAAATGAAGCAATGAACTTACCTCTATACAATTATTACAAACACTACAATGCGAGCACCGTGGAGGTCTATAGAACTGACAGGTGGTACACCATTTCATTCGCATTGTAATTCCTTTGATTTCAACATTTTTATATAAAGGTGCTCTGAAGTCATCATCACGAAATTCATCTTCATGAGCTATAAAGAGAAAAAAAAAAATGATACAATTACAATGGTACTGGAGATTCAAGATCAATATCCAACTATATTAGATACTTGAAAAGATTATACTGAACCTTTTCCTTTAATAATACTGATTACTGATCTGATAATTCTAAGAAAAAAAATGTAATGCAATTCACAAAATACACCTTACAGTAAAAAGTATTTTGCTTAAAGTCAATGGAAAATACAATAGCTATGTGAGAGCAGTAGTAAAATACAATATTTTATATTTTTAATATACCAGATATATGATGCAGTATTAATTAATGAATAAAATAAAATATTTTTCCCCCCATATAAAATATTATTTAAATAACTAATATGCTCATATTCAAAACAGCATACTATATTTAAAATGAAATTTTTGCATTCATATAATTTCTATTAGTAAAATTGTTAGAGAGAATTCCTAAAATGTTTTTAGTTATCAAATGATCCCTTCCTATCAACATTACTTAATATTATACAAAAAAAAACAAAAAAAAAAAAACGAAACATAATAGTTGAAATTCCTGATGTGCAAGAAAGGGATCAATCTTGTTTGCTTGATCAAATCTTCATATAAGATAAAAGTTCTCATGGTACTTTTTAGAAAAATAATAATGTATAAAATATTAAATTAGAAACTGAAATATAACTCATTGCCTTCAGATACAGTAACAGCATTAGCAAGCAAAGATAATTGTAGGTTAAAAGCACTTGAATTTTTAGATTGATTACAATATTTTAAGTTAAAAAGATACAGACAATATACTAGCATTCAAGTTCAGAAGTGAATTTCAGATCATCTATTTTATTATCTACTATAAATACATATATTTGTAAAAATGAATCATTTCAATGATGCAATTATAAATAAGGTATTTTACTGATTGAAAACAAATAGTAACGTTTTAATTCAAATATTGTATTTAAAAATTCAGTAATCAAAAAATTAACCAATTTATTTTAATGTAATGATACCCCCTCCCCACAAAAAAAAGGGAGTGGAGAGAAGCATTAAGAAAATGTTAAAAAAATATGGTATTTACAAATTTGCTAGAATTTATTATTTTATTAAGATACAAATGCTGAAGTAGCCAATATTTTATGGACATATTCATTAAATTTGTTTTTACATGTGTTTAACTTAGAAAAGACTTAATAAAGCTGCCAGCAGCCATGATGCAGCTTTGGAAAAAAGCTTTATGTCTATATCAGTGAGTTCTTATTCCTATTGGTCATCATGTGGATGATAGTGGCTTTCAAAGAGGTGTTAGTGTAGTGGGCTGTTAGCTGATGGTAATCTAGAGGATTCAAATCAAGAGAGCCAAGTGTGAGGGAGCAAAATCCTGCTAGGAAATATATAACTAATTCTCAACTCAGGGTTTGACAACTGTGCCCACTACCTCAATGTAAGCAGTGACATTGATCCAGAGACCCTTCAGAGTGGGTCAGTATAAGATGACACTCATTGCTCACAACTCCCAGGACTATCACAAATGATGTGCATCACAAGAGAGCTCATTCTTCCAGTTCCCTTTTGGATCCTGTATAAGATTTTCTCATTGGAGTTTGCAATGTACACTGTGGATTAGGGGCAGGGTTGTTTTGAACTTTTTCAGCAAGCCTAGCAATTAGATCACATGGTTCTTCTGGGTTTTGTTGGACACAAACTGCCATCTTATCATCACATAAGACTTGTATCTTATGTCTTCATGCACCACATATCAGATACTGGACCTCATCATCTAGTGCTACTCAGTGATAGCCTACATTATATGGCTGGAATTATTGTTGATGATGCCCTGGGCCTGCTGTACCTTACAACATCTGAGAGCTTAGAATATTTTTCTTTGCCACCAGCTCATTGCTGACCTTGAACATGGTGAGCTTGGCCACTTTGAAGCTTGCTATCTCCAAGTTGGTGTGGTAGCCATGAGCAGTATGTCTTTTAATCTGTGTCAGATTTGAAGTTGTTATGTTAAAGCTCTTAACACATCTGAAAGAAAAATGACAATGTCAAAAAAGGTTGGTCTTCCATTTATGGATGCTAAAGGCAAATTGTCAAATACCTGATGTACTCATATATATTAGTTTTAAGGTATGCTATATTTATGGGATAAAGTGCTCAATATCACAAATAGAGCATATGTAAATATAAAAGTGAACATTGTCAGGCCACAAATTGTGTTTAGCATGAAACAGTCTGTCACCACTGAGTATTGACTTCAATGTGTGCATATGTGTGTGTGCATACATCAGTAAATAGACCAAGCTTTAAGTTACAAAACACTATTTTGCCATAATTACCACTATTGGCTACATATTTCCATCACTGAAAAATCCTAAATGTAACACTCATAAATATGGCTTGTCATGCACATGACTGAAATGCACCCCACCCCAGTGGTTAACTGTGCTCATATCCATCATTTAGTATTTCTAAATGTTCAGCAAGAATCCATAATTGTAAGTGGGTGAAGTTTTTTTTAACCACACATTCAATGATACACCTCCAAATTGTACATGTTTTTCATGTCAGACAACATTTTGCCAAACTGTTACTCAGCTGTTATTTGTATCAACTTAAAATAGGTAATTGGTGGGAAGGTTCAACCTCTACTCTCATGTCACCAGAGCTCCAGACTAACTTTTTGCCATCATCCAAGAACTGTCCTCAAAAACAACTTTAATCATCCACCATAAATTTTAAACTATCACAAATGTCAAAATGTTTTTGTTTTACTTTATAATTAGTTGCCAATAGCATAATAAAAACATCATTAAAAAATTTAAATGAAAAAAGTTAAAATATTAAAAATTTAAAGATTTTTAATAAGCAAAAAAAAAAAAAAAAAAAAAAAAAAAATTGTAATTTTCATAAAAATCACACCTTTATTTTTATTTAAACAATTTGAAGTCACCTTGAATAATTTTACAATATATTTATTAAATTTCATGATTGGAGTAACTTTTATCATACTTTACAAAGAATATTAGCATTTTTCAACTAAGTCTTTAAAGTTTTTAAAAAGCCTTTATCAAAACATTTTCATTTATCTGCCTTGCATTTTGACTAAATTATCAATGTTTGTTCATTTTTTAAAATTCTCCCTTGTATTTTCAATTTAGTTTATAATGAGCAGAAAACACAAGTGTTATTTGTTTATTGTTCATTTATTTTAAGAAATCAATTGCTTTTGGAATAAATAGAAATTTTAATTAAAATCTTTGTATCATCTTAAGGATGATGTCAATTTGAAATCCTGCACCACCCATAGAGACATGTGCTAACATAAAATTGTGTGTGTATGTGTGAGAGAGAAAGTACATCTAATATAAACATATTACTTAAAATTTGCTATATTTTAAAGGGAAGAGTGGTCAATATCTTAGAGTGTTTTAGATAGTGCAGCAACAGTGCATCAAAACACTTGAGGTATGAAAGTCACCATGCAATGCTGATTTCTATCAACACAAAGTTTTAGTCAGTCTCTTTATTTTATATATATATTTATATTTATATATATATATATATATATATATATATATATATAAACAATGTTTTTTAATAATCATACTGTTTATCAAATACTAGACAAACTATGATATTTAAAATTACTTATGTATTCTTGGACAAGTATATTATTATTTTTATCTAATTAAATAAATAATTATTTTAAATTATTTTTAATCATTTCTATTTAAAATATTATACATAAGAACATCTGTAAATAAATTATAATATCTCAAAATAAATTATAAAAAGCTCCTATTTATTTAAAATGTATTAGGTGTATCTGACCTATTGAAATTTATAAAATTATTTTAATCAGTATATTAATTTTTTGTTTTTTTTAAATAATTTTTAATATTTTGGTATAACAAAGTAGATGTTTATTAATAAATTTGCACTTTCCTAAAATTTCATTCTTTTTTAAAAGGTTTCATTTTTAAAAATAATCATTTGTAATTTTTCTTCTTTTAAGCATTGCTGCTAAAAATATTCTAAGGAAGTACCTTTTTATGATTTCCCATTTAGTTTTGATGGAGACCAAGAGTGGCACCTGACATCAAATAAACCAAGAAAGGTGCCTGATAAGAGATTTCAACAAAGCAAATCAATTATCAATAAGATACTAAAGCTATCAGTGTTGATAAGAGAAAGAAAAGCTGGTTATTTTTTATTTTATTTCACAGCAATGTAAGCAAGGAGACTATTGAAGCTGTTGATAATATTTTTTTTATCTATATCTTCAACTTTGATTTTATCAGTTATCCCAAGGTAGGGGTTGTTTAGATTGAGAGGGTTGGGCAATGTATTATTTCAGTATCTTATTTCAAACTCAGTCAAATTGCATGCATATATTAAATGACAGGGAGACATGTCAGATATACATATACATATACATACATATACATATATATATATATATATATATATATACATACATACATACATACATTACATATACAAAGTCATACATACAAAGCATGCAATGGACAGAAAATCAGATATTTTATAATATACATCATTTTATGTTTTACATTCATATTATCATACTTGCTTTAGTTTTCATTTTTATTTTGATATTACTGGAATTCAATGGGTGTACATTTTGGTACTGTCTATTTGCTTGTCTGGATATTAAACAATACAAGCTCTGATATGTACACACATGTACATTACATATGCAAGGTCATATGCAGACAACATTTGTGTTTTTACACTGCTTTATATGTAACACTTGTTTAACGCCAAACATTTTTTAAAATATATACTTGCTTTTTTTCCTAAATTACACTTAGTTGGACTTAATAGTCAGCATGTAGGTTTAACTGTAAAATTATTTTCCGGGTCCCTTAATTTAATGAAGGGCCCTATTTTTACTAAGAATGTAATTCTATTATTTAGTTTAAGTTTATTGCTATATTTTAGCTTCCTTATGTTAATTTAAATTTTGTTGTTACTTTTTTTTATAAAATTTTTT